TATTTCGAACTTGTCGAAATGTTAACCCGTCGTTGTTCGATCGAGGTCGAATTCTTCTCTTTGGCGATGGCCTTTGGCCTTAAGGGTATTTCAAACTTGTTGAAATGTTAACCCGTCGTTGTACGATCGAGGTCGAACTCTTCTCTTTGGCGATGGCCCTTGGCTTAAGGGTATTTCGAACTTGTTGAAATGTTAACCCATCGTTGTTCGATCGAGGTCGAACTCTTCTCTTTGGCGATGGCCCTTAGCCTTAAGGGTGTTTCGAACTTGTCGAAATGTTAACCCGTAGTTGTTCGATCGAGGTCGAACTCTTCTCTTTGGCGATGGCCTTTGGCCTTAAGGGTATTTCGAACTTGTCGAAATGTTAACCCGTCGTTGTTCGATCGAGGTCGAACTCTTCTCTTTGGCGATGGCCTTTGGCCTTAAGGGTGTTCTCTGGGGGAGTCCCAATTTTTTGCTCAGCTTGTGTGTTTCTTGGGTGAGTCCCAGTTGCTTGATTTGTGTGTATTGGAGAGTGTGATTTTGGAGAGTACTGAACGTTGCTATCCTGCTAATGTGTTGCTTTATGCGTGTATTAGGATCTCCCTGTTTAACCCACCCGTTCTTCGGCCCGGAGAGCTCGCCGATGGGCGGGGCGATAGATTGTCCTTTGAGGTTTGGTGATGGCCACCTTGTTGCTTCGTTCAAAGCCTCCCCGAGAGAACCCGATTGGGACAAAACCCGGGTGAGGGAAAAAGAGTGTGAATTTAAGGGACGTCATTTTCCAGAGGTTGGCATCCCTGAGATGGGCGATATTCCGGATATTTTGTAATAGTTCTACTCTCTAGTTGGAATGCTTCTCTGCTCGCTCGCCCATGCGGCGCTTGTATTCTTGTTTAAGTGAACAACAGAAGGTAAACCAAGATGAGATTTTCCTTATGTCGGTCCGATGGGTCAATGAACGAGGGCAGCCATAGTGTTGTTTGCTCTCCCTGACGTTTAAGTGGTTGATGGAATGGTGGTTTGTGGACTCGGCGGCCGCGTTTAGCCTTCTTTTCTTCCTCTCTTTTTCTTTTAAGCATGCCCTGGTTCTGCGTGGGTTGGGTTTGCCTTAGCTCGTTCGTGGATCATCCGGTGCGTGAGTCACCCCATAAGATGTGCCCATCCTCTTGCGTGATTTGTGCAACTGGCGTCGTCTTCTTTTGCAAGCTTTGCGTGGACATTGGTTGTAACTTCTGCTTCTATGCAGCACCATGCTTTGGATTAGCATGTGAGGTTTACGCGTGAGGTTTACTTATCACTTTCTTCGGTGGATGATTATGGGTTTCGATCTGGAGGAGACTAGGAATTTTGAGTAAGAAATCCCCACAGACGGCGCCAAATTGTTTGACCAAAAGATGTCAAAACTTTTTTTATTAAAGCAATTAATGATAACGAAGGGTAAATCTTAGTCAACAATAATAAACTCCAGATCTAAAAATGAATCTGAATGTGATGAATAAGATAAAATATAGGCAATCAATCTTATTGAAGTCTTTTCATTTCTTCTTTCACGATACAACGAAGATGATTAATTTAGATTATCTAGTGGGGATGATCAATTTACATGATATAGTGAGGATGATCAACTTGCATCCTTTCTTCTAAGAGAGCTGTAGTAGAGAGAGAGAGAGAGAGAGAGAGACCCAGAAGCCCTCCCCCCCCCCCCCCCNCCCTTCACTGGGAGGATTTCTCCTGTATATATAGTCCTGGAGTCCTTGCTATATTCTTTAGCTGATGGGCCTCCCTACCACGACCATGTTCGTCGTTACTTGAGTATTGTTTTGTGACTTATAATGTGTATCGTAGGTACTCGTGTTGGAGCAAGTCGTAACGTTTCTCACTATCTCGCCACTTAGGCGGGATCCCAGTTGGATCGACCACCGTGGTCAGATTTTGACCAATACATAAACGTTCCTAACAAATTCCGTATTAGTCATTACAAAGTATACATTAAAGGAAATTATGGCACCCGCCAACTTCAAATCCTAGATCCGCCTCTGTGAATAAAAGTTACTGCCTCTGCTTGTCTGAGCGAAAGCTATGGATTTAGTTGAACCCATAGCTTCTACACTGCATACGTCTCTAAAGAGAACAACAATACGAATTCTTCTTCCAGTATCGTTCAAGAAGATGGAATTCCAATGGTGAAAATAAAGGAGGAAGAAGGAGATATTGAAATATTCTGGCGAGATCGATCAAGTGCTCGAGCAGCTAGACAGTGAAGTTTCACCTGGAGGGACTCAGCGTCTTCGCCAAAGGTGCAATGATGAGGAACAACGGAGTATTAGTTAGAAAATGTTGACCTAGTCAACATCAGTAAGGATGGATTTGCGACTTCTGTATTCAGGATTTCAATTTCAGGAGATGAAAGCAGGGCTGAAAAAAGTGAAGAACTAAAGTGAACTAGAGTTTATTATGAAGGAGAAAAGAATTTAAAAACTACTGAGACATCTTTTACATGTTATGTGTAGACATGTACCTTTCTGAACGTTCACAATTAGTAAGTCAGTGAATTTCGAATATCGAATGCTTAAAGATATTTTTCTATTTTTTGAAAAAAGGAAGACAACCCAAACATACTGGTTAAGATGAAACATACATAAGTTTCAGATTTGCAAGTTTTTAACTTCTAATTTTGACAGAGGTTCTGTGTTCTATTGTCCAGATTACAGCAGCCCGGTACACGAAGCATCTTGTGTTCACGCAAGGTTCGGGGAAAGGCCGTACCTTAAGGGGGTGTGATGTAGGCAGTGTACCCTAATACAAGCTTCAGTGGTTGATTTTGGGGCTCGAACCGTGGCCTATAGGTCACACGGAGACAATTTTACTGTTGCTCCAAGACTCCCCTTCCTAAAGAGGCAGCCCGGTGCACTAAGCTCTCGCTATGCGCGGGGTCCGGGAAAATAAGGGTCTATTGTACGCAGCCTCACCCTACATTTCTGCAAGAGGCTGTTTTTACGGCTCAAACCCGTGACCTCCTGGTCACATAGGAGCATCTTTACCAGTTACGTCAATGCATCAATCAGCTGTTGACATGTTCACTAAAATACAGAGAAAAGATTCCTCATCTCAGATTCCTCTCCCAATAAGTTTGCTGATTAGAGTGATGTCTAGATGCAAAAGGCCAAAACTTTGGTAAAGCTGATGCCAATTTGTGGCTGTAAAACAACATGACAATAAGTCTGGTAATTGAACAGATTGTATAGGATGCATAAGACAAAGATTTGGTAAAGCTGATGCCAACTTGTGGATGTAAAACAAGATTACATTTGTAAAACAGAACTAAGATCCAAATAAAGCTTCATCACTTCCATCCTTTTCAATATAATATAATATCACTTTATATGCGTACTTTTATATTCCTTAGATTCTATTACTACTGGATGCTTTTGTTCTGGTTATTCTATTATCTTGTTGGTATTACTGCTTCTTTGACTTTTTTACTATTGTGTTTCTCTGTCTATTATGCATGCTTGCTTGAGCCGAGGGTGTATCGGAAACAACCTCTTTGCCTGCACAAAGCAGAGGAAATACTGTATACACACTATCCTCTCCAGACCCTACTCGTGAGATTTTACTGTTGTTGACTCATTTAGCACTTTCTCTAATGAGGTGTCTCAACTAGGTGACAATTGAAAACCAAACTATTCAGTAACTGAAGTTTACTATTGATTTGGAGCATTTATAAGGGAAAGGCCAAAAAAAAAGATAGGTTTTCTATTGACAAAAAAGCAGTAATTAATAATCAAACAGTTTGCAGGAACTCAGATTATCAACTAACACCAATACTATTCCTTCTCTTTGCAAATATTCTATGGATGAAAAGCAGCAGCACATAAGACAGTCCAATTTGGTACTACCCTCGTCATATATTGGGTATAATTTGGTATTCTTAATATCCAATTTATCATGTAATGGTTTAAACACAATACAATTAAAAAAGGGCAGCCCGGTGCACGAAGCACCCCTCGTTTACACAAGATCCGGGGAAGGGCCGCATCCTAAGGGAGTATGAGGGAAGCAACCTACCCTGATGCAAGCATCAATGGCTGATTCCACGGCTGATTCAGCTTGACGATTAATATATGGCATGTTTTTTATTTGACTCTTGAATAAATATGATATGATCACGAATGTGCAGATACCAGGTGAGAAACCTAAAAAGACAATAAAAAGGAGAGAATTCAATGGAACTGTATTTGGGGTGATTTGGCTGCTATTACTTAATTTATATTATTGATATCTATTCTAAGCAGTCCCATAATAACTGAATCAAGTGAAAACTAAGAAACAAATCCACCTGTATAGTACAAAACACATATAATATATGGTATATAAGTCCCAGCAGCCAGCAAGATTTTCTGGTGAAGTAAAATAAGGAGCCCTGAATATCACAGCAATCTCAGACTCAAACAACTAGTGACAGATTGAAATTGAGATAAGCAACAACAACGACAACGACAAACCCAGTGAATTCTCATAAGTGGAGTTTGGGGAGGATCCTCGTGCCGAGGGTCTACTGTAAACACCCTCTCTATATTCACCGTAGGGGTAAGGTCTGTGTACTATCTATCCTCCACAGACCCCACTAGTAGGACTATACTGAGTTAGTTGTTGGGGTTTGGGGAGGGTAGTGTGTACGCAGAGTCGCAGACCTTACCCCTACCCTGGGAGGGCATAGAGGTTGTTTCCGTGAAATTGAAATAAGCAAGTCACAAAAACTCAGAAAATGGTAAGGCTGGAAATTGTGACAGTGGAATTATACATAAGGTAGGGAAAAACAAGCTCCCAATGGAAGATATGGGCAAACATATTATGTTTGGTGGAAATATATATATATTTATGTATATATACATGTGTGTATGTGTTTATGCATGTATTATATATGAGCAACATGAATAACATCAGGTTTATAAGTTATCAGAATGAGAAGTTTTTGATAAATTCTACCACAACTTTAATGGTAAGGAAGAATAAGATGGGAACAAACAGCAAATTAAAGTTTGATATTCCACTCACTTCATATACATACAGTTTTTGCAATGAACTAAAGAAAGTATTTACAGATAAATAAATAAGAATCAGAAATTGAAAACAAGGTAGTTACTAAGTAAAAAGATTCCAGCTAACCTACTCTTCCACCAACTGAAAACACTCGACCGATCTCATCCACTTGAAAATTGGTGTAAAAGTTACCGCGCCTACCCTTTCTTTCTATTAGAGTCAGGCCGATCAGGTGTCTTCATTCAAGCGACAGTACAGAAGAAGAACGAAACGAAAGCCAAAGCTTGTAAAAACTAGAATCCCCTTACTGAACTCTGCCAAACTTCAACATATTGCTGATCTTTTCTTGTAACAAACATTTTGTTCCCTCCAAAACTGAAGTGTGTTATCTTATTACCACAAATATCTTTTGCTCTTCCCATTGAATTTTTCCTAAAAACTCTATCTTTTATAGAATTACCAATCAAAACCTCTGACCATAATTCAAGATTTCCTCCTTTACTACAAAATACTTGATTTCCATGACTCTCAATCTTACAACCAAAACCTTCTTTTTTACCATTTGTTACCTTTCTTTGATCACCAAGACAAGTCCAAGAATTCTCACCACCAATATTCCTCAAATCAGAAATGAAAACTTCACCCGAATGTACGCCAACTTTCAAAATGGCGGAAAGATCATCCGAAACTGTACAATCAGAGAAACAATCAACATTTTCCTTTATCTCCCACACTACATTTCCTGACCTTATATCCCAAAATCTAATATTCCCCCTTACACCAGAAGGTCCACTATGCGATCCAGACGCCATCAACAAGTTATGACTAGAAATCCAACTCAATTTAGTAGCTGGAATTGCTGAATCCAATTCAGCACCAAAGATTTCATAATGTCCAATCTCAGCAACAGGCCTAAAACTATCATTAAGATCATATATCATAATGCAGTTAGAATTTCTCCTACTTGATTCAAAACTAGTAAACAAGAAATCTTTTGAGGATCCTATTGCTTGTACTGTTGAACCAGATTTAGTCGCATTTTCCCAATTTAATGTCTCCTTAACAAACCCTTTACTAACATCAATAATTTGTAATCCTGAAAAATCAGTAGCACCAGCTGCAACAATACTAGGGGACAAAGATAACATAGAATCAATTCCAGCAAATTGAGTCAAAATAGTTGATTTTCTCTTAAGTGACCAATCAAATGAAGTAATTTTACAACCATGAGCAACTTGAACTGAACCAAGTTGTGTTGTGGAAATAGCTGTAGGTGAATCTCTACCACTTAAAGGCAAAATAACAGATTTTTCAAGATCAAAAGGCTCAAACTGAGATGGGTTTGATTGAGAATTTAACAAAAGATGTTCTACACCATAGAACTGAGATTCAAAAATCAAATCTTGAATATCAAAGGTTTTAGCTTTTGAGGGTAAATTTCCAGTTCTTAAAAGGGAAAGTAAAATAGAGAAAATTTCTGGGTCTCTATCAATAAAAGGAATGACACCATCATTAAAATTGGTAATTTCAGAAAGAAGGGATTTTGAACCTGATTGCTTTAAGGTCTGTTTGGTTGTTTGAAAAAGCTGACCTCCAACATCAATGGTGATAATATTTGAAGCTGAATCAATGGAGTTTCTTGAAAAATTATAAGAAAGAGGATTAGATCCAGCAAAAGGTGGCATCTTTTTGAGAATTCAGAAAGAATCAGAACCAAATAATTTTTTCAAGAAAATAAAGTTGGGATTTTTGGAATTCAATCAGAGGAAATCTAAAGACTCAATTTTTATTGAAAATTTGGTAGTTTAGGTAATCCAAGAATGTTGCTTCAAGAGTATATATAGGGACTTGATTTTCTAGAAAGTTAAAGTTGGGATCTTGGAATTTAACAGACTAACAAAAAAAGACTATATTATTTTTAGACTATTATTATTTTTAGAAGTTTCGTGGTTGGATGATGAATGAAGAATGGAGAAAAATAAGGGAAAATTAAGTTATTAAAAAATTGTGGATTAGCTAAAAAGGAGGCTCTAGAAACTAGAAAGTCAAAAAGACTGCAGTTTGGTCAATAATGGCTTTTTGCATTTTTGTTTCTAGAATTTCAAGTAGTTGACTTTTATTGCACGAGGGTTAATGTAGTAGTCCAACTTAGACCACATTTTTGTTTTTATTATTTAGTTTTTTTTTTTTTGGAATTTGGGAATGGGGAAAAGGAACAAAAAAGGAATACAGTTTATAGATGAAAAGGGAAAGGAAAGAGGATTATATGACTATAGTTAATGACCTTTCAATTTTTTACTGTTCAGTTAAGAATTTGAATAATAATATAGGCTAGTCTTTTTGAGAAAAATAATATTATATAGCCACTCTTAAAATAATAGACGAAAAAATATACATATATTTTTGTGTGTATATATATATATACACACATATTTATGCATATATACAAAAACGACACAAATTTTATACATTTTTACAACTATCGAATATAAATAATTTCGGCCGTAAACTAAAAGTGATCTTTTGCCCTAGTCTTTTTCCATTAAATTCATCCGATGAAAGATACATATATAAATATTAAAAAATGATTTATGTCTTGGACGAGTATTGAAATAAAAACATGAAAATGTGAATTAACATTATGGTTATTTAGGGAAAGATGGCACTGCAATTATTAAATCCAAAATAATGCCAACCCTACAATGAACTTTTATTTTAATAAATCTTTCGATACACCCTATAATTTGGCCAACACATGCTAATTACTCTCAATGGAAAGTTACAACTAATAGTCGTATATCTTGGGGACCAAACAATATTGGCGGCATGCTTATGAGTTATGGTTTTCTATTATATTGCTTTTTCTTTTTTTCTTTTTTTTCTTCTTTTTTTTGGGCTTAATTGAATGAGACTTGAGTAGCTTGTTTGGCCAAATTTTTAAAGTTGTTTTCCTAAGTATTTTGAAAAAAAAAAAAAAAACTTTAGAGTAATATAGTCTATGTTTGGCTAACTAACTTAAATTATTAATTGCCAGTATAGAGCAGTAATTTATGATGGCCTAAGATTCAGGAAGTGTTTATAGGGAAAACTTTAGAGCAATAATATTGGCGGCGCCCAATACTAATTATTTTTTTTTAAAAAATAATAATTTTGACTTCTCAAAAGTTTGGTCAAATAGAGTAAAGTAACCAGGTTTGAGACTGTATTTGAGATTATATTTGCTTCGTGCAATAATTCCATTGAGTTTAATTTCTATAAAAAGAAAAGATTTTTGTTTTTTACACAAAAATAAAAATAAAAAAAAAACAATATTGGCGGCGCCCACTCATGTGCGTAGCTCTTCTAGTCAGCCCCCAAATTTTAATGCAAACAATAGTCATCATTGATTCTTAAACTATAGTATTATCTTCTTTAAAATCAACTTTGATCCAATTTTTTTCTTTTCTTTTCTTTTTTTTTTTTTTTTTTTTAGTTTGAAATTTGCATCTTTGCCTGAAAAAGTTTGTGTAATAATCATGATTTAACTCCATGTTGTTTGGCAAATTTACCGATCTAAATTGTTTCTTGTGGAAAACGTCCAGTCCAACATTATACTAAATGTAATTAACTTATAATAATAAATATTAAAATTTGAAATTTTTACACCCTATAGAAAAGCTTAATACCCTATTTATTTTAAATAAATACCATTTTAAAAAATTATATTATATAGCTACCTTTTACCCTTTATAGCAAAATATTTAATTATGGTTACATCCTATACTTAAGGCACCATATACGCTAATTAATATTTTTCTCTCTCCTTTTCAAATTTTCTCTCACATAATCACCATAAATTTCACAAACCACGTTCTCTCTCTTTTTTCATACACTTTACTCTCTTCTCCCACAAAATCACGTTTCAGACTTCTTCTCCCACCCAAATTCGCTAGGTCTCCCCCATTATCACTCCCCAGTTAGTTTCTCTCTAAAATTGTGGTTTTATTTCCTGCTACAAGTTCTTGCGGTAAGTATTTAGCTTCTTAGATTTTGATAAAAGTATTTAGCTTCTTCGATTTTGATACAGATTTTTGTTTGCTTCTTAAACAATAACCATTGTTATTGTTTACTCAACAGATAGCTATCGTTTTTCTCTCCAATGTCGGATTCGTCGTCACACAAGATGGTAACCAGAGGTATACCCACCAAAATTCTCAANGTCTCAGAAAGCCTATATTAATAAAGTGTTAGAATGGAAAAATGCTCATCAAGTCCCGTTCCAATTCAGAAAGGGGATAAATTTAGTCTCAATCAATGTCCAAAGAATGAATTGGAACGTATGCAAATGAAAGATATTCCTTATGTATCTATAGTTGGGAGCTTAATGTATGCCCAGACATGTACAAGACCAGACATCAGTTTTGCTGTTGGAATGCTGGGAAGATATCAAAGTAATCCAGGGATGGACCACTGGAAGGCTGCAAAGAAAGTGTTGCGTTACTTGCAAGGAACAAAAGATTATATGCTCACTTATAGAAGATCTGATCATCTTGACGTGATTGGATATTCATATTTAGATTATGCTGGTTGTATGGATACAAGAAAATCTACATTTGGTTATTTGTTCCTGTTAGCCGGAGGAGCAATATCATGGAAGAGTGCGAAGCAGTCTGTCATAGCTGCGTCCACTATGGAAGCTGAATTTGTGGCATGCTTTGAGGCTACAGTTCAGGCTAATTGGTTGCGGAACTTTATTTCAGGAATTGGACTAGTCGACAATATTGCCAGGCCGCTGAAAATTTATTGTGATAATTCTGCAGCAGTTTTTTTCTCTAAGAACGACAAGTATTCAAAGGGTGCTAAGCATATGAAAGTGAAATACTTTGCCGTCAAAGAAGAAGTCCAGAAACATAAAGTGTCAATTGAACATATTAGCACTAAACTTATGATTGCCGATCCTTTGACGAAAGGATTACCACCCAAAATATTTGTTGAACATGTTGAAAGAATGGGCATTCTTAATAGCAATGTATGAATTTATCTAAAGACTTTATTATGTTTATGAAATTGACACTTTGAGCTCATTTAAACATATGTTTTTGGTATTCTATACCTGTTTTCTCTTATATACATAATATTGAGAATAACGATGACAGGTTCAGGCTTAGATAAAGATATTCTAAGCATTAACGTTGGACCAATTAAGTATTACTTTTACATGTTGTATTAGGTAATAGACTGATATTGTAGTACATGGAAGGGACTATATCGAGTAAGTGATGTACAACCGCCATGACTCATATAAGTTTACTTATTCAATAACAACGAGTGATGTTTCCAATGAATGAGAATTTAACATTTTATTGTGCACATAATGATTGAGATATTTATTAAACCATTAAGTGAGTAACATCACGTGCACCAAGTGGGAGAATGTAAAATATGGCCCACGTGAGTATTTTGGTTTAATATAAATATATTTTGTTAAATTAATATTTTGATAAAATTAGGGGAAGTTAATTATGGTCATAACTCCCCACTAACCCACTTTGATGGAAAGTGGGGAAAGTTAATTATGGTGATAACTCCCCACTAACCCACTTTGATGGAAAGTGGGAATTAACTGATGGTCCCTCTCTCTGCCTATTAAAGGAAGAATAGCGTACTCCATCTATTCTATTCTGAAAAGAACATAGAAAAGGAAAGAGAGAGAAATACTGATTTTCTCAAGAACAGCAACTCTGAAGAAGACTTCCGCTCAATTTAATTAAGAAAACACATCATGAATTCAGGTAAGTTTTCTTAATTGAAGTTATTGTATCTCTATTTTATGTGAAAATCATATAGTTCCACGGTTCTGAATAATTGAAAGGATTTATATAGATTGTTTATAAATCACAATCTAGAATTGAGAAAATCCTAACAGTTTTGGGTAATATATGAATTAGAAATAACATGATTAAAAAAGTAAGATTTCTGTAGTAGATGTATAGTCTTACATTTCTATACACAAGCTCATCCCTTGGAGACATTGTCACCATACCTTTACTTACAGTAGTTTAATTCTGTTTACATTGGGCCCGGGCTTTGACCGGGCTACCTCCACTAGTGTAAATATAGGAATTTTTACACCCTATAGAAAAGCTTAATACCCTATTTATTTTAAATAAATACCATTTTAAAAAATTATATTATATAGCTACCTTTTACCCTTTATAACAAAATATTTAATTATGGTTACATCCTATACTTAAGGTACCATATACGCTAATTAATATTTTTCTCTCTCCTTTTTCAGAATTTCTCTCACATAATCACGATAAATTTCACAAACCACGTTCTCTCTCTCTCTTTTTTCATACACTTTACTCTCTTCTCCCACAAAACCACGTTTCAGACTTCTTCTCCCACCCAAATTCGCTAGGTCTCCCCCATTATCAATCCCCAGTTAGTTTCTCTCTAAAATCGTGGTTTTATTTCCTGCTACAAGTTCTTGCGGTAAGTATTTAGCTTCTTAGGTTTTGATAAAAGTATTTAGCTTCTTCGATTTTGATATAGATTTTTGTTTGCTTCTTAAACAATAACCATTGTTATTGTTTACTCAACAGATAGCTATCGTTTTTCTCTCCAATGTCGGATTCGTCATCACGCAAGATGGTAACCAGAGGTATACCCACCAAAATTCTCAATTTTGATGGGCCCTCTTTCTCGTTGCAAATAACTCAAGTGGAGTCGGAATTTGCAGGTGTATCAGCAACTACAGCTTCAAAGAGAAGAACTAAATTACACAATGACAAATCGAAAGAAGTCCAAGTTGAGAAATCCTTAAAAGAAACAAAAAATTCCAGTTGCGAAAAAGAGGAAAAAAACCTATGAATGATTCTTCATGTGTCAAGTTTAAGGAAGTTGATGCAAAAAAAAGCTCGGATACACGACACGAAAAGGTAATTTTTATTGTATCAATATGCTTTCAAAGTTGTTAACTGATTTAGGGGTACATTGATGTAGTCATATTTATTCATGTGATTTATATGTATGTTGATGTATTCGTATGTATTTAGTTGTATTCATAAGTATTTAAACAATCCAGAACTCATTTGCACATTTACAATGTCATTCACTGAGTTGTGCTTACTTAGTTATTATATGTTGTATTTAGATGTATTCAAATTTACATTCACTGTGTTTCCGTACTTATTATAGATTTCCTTGCATATTGTATGTAGATATTTACTGTTTTGTACTCAATGGTATGAATATGTATTTCAATATTTAACTGTATCTAGTTGTATTTATATGTATTCATAACACTTAATGACTTTATGTATTGATGATGAATATGAAACCTTTTTTAAATTCTTGTTTGTAACTGTTTTAATGTATTCTTTCAGGGATTGTGGGGTGCATGCCGCGACATACGCAGAGTTTCTAAGCACCGTTGGTTTGGTTCCACAAACAAAATTTGATGCCAATTTACTCCGTCAAAGATATGGTGCCCTCCTTTGGGACTATGCTATGCGGAAGATAGACGCTGATGCCATAAGCGAGAGCGAAGCACCTTCAAAGATTCTTAGGCACATCACTGATTCTGATACGTCGGTTAAGATAATGTTAGAGTAGTCTTAGGTGAATGTAGTTTTCGATGGGAGTTTTTTGTGAATACTGTTTTTTGGACAGTGTGTTGGTAAAGATGGTGTTAGTTTAGCAATTTTTTTTTTTATTTATTGACCATATCAACAGTGTTTATATACTATCATTTCAAGCATCCAATCGATGTATTGACTGTTTTTGTACTTCAACCTGTTGCTTTTTAAGTATGTTTGCAACAGTTTGTATTGATATGTATGCAACATGTTGTATTGATATGTATTCAACTTATTGTATCAGTCGTTATTCAACTTACTGTATTACTCTCTATCATACTTATTGCATTCATAACAAGTCGACATGTTGCATTTATATTATAATTTACCATATTGTATTGATCTGTATTTCAACATGATATATTTATCTATATTCATTAAGTTGTATTTATATGTATTCAGCAGAGTATGTTCACATATTTTCAGCAGGTGTATTTAGACCTTCATATTTATATAATGTATTGCATTAATATGTATTCAGCTGTATTTTGAATACATCTTATGTATATAACTGATTTTATTCATCTGTATTCATTTATATGCATATGTATTCAAGTCTATTTAGACCTTTGTACAATACATATTTAGACATCTATACGTGTATAACAGATTGTATTAATATGTATTCAGGTGTATTTGAATACATGTATTTAATATTCAGAAATCATATTCAATCTCTGATTTCCTATGATACAATCATATCCTATGTATATAACCTAGTGTAATCATATGTATTCAATGATTGTATTCATCTATATTCAGATGTAATGAAGATATAATAGTCGTATTTGAATTACGAATTCAGATTTAATACACCAACTAAGTATATCCAAAATATATTCGAAATGAAACCGGTTCCAATAACAAATCGTTTTGCATTAATACAAGTCAGAATGTGAACAAATTTCTACGTGGAGCATTTCTACAAGTACGCTTATTATGTCCTTCCTGCCCACATATGCTACGCGAATGTTGATTTTTCTTCTGCAGCAATTCAATGAACGGCTTATCACGCTTCTTCTTTGGTCTTCCCGGAGGTCTTTTCCATTTTGGTGGTAATAAACTTCATCTGCTATATGTGCTGGTATATTCCATTCTTTCCGGTCCGGCAAAGGATATACGTGCACCTCATATGTCATTACAACGGACTTTGGTTTGTAATAATCAGAGCAATAATCTTCTGGCATTAGAAACTTGCTCTTCAGGACAGCCCAAGCGTATGGGCACGGTAATTCGTCGACTTGGAACCGCCCATAACTGCATTTTCTCTCTAAGAGGCATACGGTGTAATGCCTTCTTTCATTGTTCACCGTATGCAAATATTCAGTCGATGCCACCACCTATATTTGAATATATTATCGCATCTATACAACACAAATATATACACTGTTATACATTTAAACATGTCTGAATACACCTATACTTATAAGCATACATTTTAATACAACAAATACATTTAATAAAAAACAGTTAGAGCCACTGTATTCAACAAGAATACATGTATTTTTAATACATAAAAAATAAAAAAAGAACAACAGTGAAGGTCAAGTAACCTTTCACAAATACAGCTAAATACATATACATACAATTTGATTTTACATTCAATTCTTTTGTACTAGCGTAATGCTCCACAACAATACATGTATTATTAATACATAATCAATAAAAAACGCACAATGGAGAGACTGAGAGGTAGGCGAAAAAAAGAGATACCTGTAATAGTTCCATGAACAACGGTGCCGTTTTTGAGCTCAATGGAGACCGTCTCATTATTCAACTTCATTAGGAATCTGCACAGACATAAGTAAATTTTAATCCATAACTAAAGTTAACGGAAAAAATAACTCCATGGAACAAAATTCATGTGATTTAGGGGTACATTGATGTAGTCATATGCAAAATCGAATTTCAACGTATTTCTGTTTATAATTGTATCAATCTCGAGTTTTCTTGGTTGAAATTTGTTTTGTACAAACTGTAACAAAGGAACTGAAAAGAAAGAAGGGAGAATTGAGAATCCACGATTTGCTCTGTTTTTTGATACTTCCGGATGGAAAATCTTTAATGAAGGGAGAAATACAGATTATGGGTGATATAATTGTGTTAGTTGAGTTATATTAGGAGACTATTTGCTAGATTGATTTCCTTTCCGTTTTAAATCAGTTGAAAGGTCCCTTTTTTAAGGAATATACGTTACTGTATTCAATGATACAACTCTTGAATACAGTTGAATACAACAACTGATTAGCTGGACTTCCATGATTCACGCCTATTTTTCCTATTGTATTCATGAATACAGTAGTCTAAATACATCTTATAAAAACTTAAAATACAGGGCGTAATATAGCGAATGGTATCTATAGATAGCTAATTACCACTAAAAGATAGTGCTTTATGAATTAGCTGGACTTCCATGATTCACGCCTATTTTTCCTATTGTATTCATGAATACAGTAGTCTAAATACATCTTATAAAAACTTAAAACGTATCTACAGGGCGTAATATAGCGAATGGTATCTATAGATAGCTAATTACCACTAAAAGATAGTGCTTTATGAAAATTTCTCTTAAAATTTCTACCAACACATGTTAGTTACTCACAATTAAAAGGTACAACTCATATTTGCATATCTTGGGGACCAAACAATCTTGGTGGTACCCACGTTTCATATGCGTAGCTCCTCCTCTTGTCAGCCTCCAAATTTTAAATTTTTAATGCACTCATTTCTTTGCTGTAGTTTGGCAGCTACATATTCCTAATCACCTTTCTTCCTTGTAATTTCAGAAGTTTCTTGTTTCCACAAAATTTATTGAGAATAGAAAAGATTTAACTAGGGTCAGAAAACCATAAAAAATAAACTTGTGACATATAATTGGAAGTGTTACCAATTGTGAATTGCACCAAGAATGTGGCTTAACAATCAATGAAATGGATAACTAGAACTGTTATCAATTCTAGACCAAAATTAAATGCTAACGAAGAAATAAAAGCTTAGTGACTTCTTCTCATATGCTTAAACGTTGGTGGACAGAGCTATCCGACACACGTGTTTGTATAAAATAACAAATACCCGATAGAATAGTCAAGGTTGGATCATTAATAGTTAGTTGAATTTAGCTTTGAAATTAGCTAGTCTACTATTCCATAAAGTATGGCTTGGATCAGATTTTTAAGTCTTAATCTTATAAGCAAATGGACATTTGCTAATTCATGACAACTTGGTGAAGAAAGATTGTATTCCAATTAAAACTACATGAAGATTATCATCATTATCATCATCATCTGCTACACTGTTCTAGCAATTATTTATGTTTTATACATAAAAGAGGTAAAAAGTGAAGATGTAGATTCTAACTAGTTAAATGTAAAACTCTCACTGAGGGGTGCAAAACTAGTTTATCAAATGGTAATTCCTACAATGCATCCCTATCCATCTTTTCCTAAATTCAGGAAGTGCCCAAAAAACAGCCTTCGCATCGACTACTATATCAGTCTTGCTGCACTTCAACACCTCATCCTTGTACATTTTGATATCAAGAGTTCTGGTATTTGCAGCTGGTTGTATCGAAATTTAGGGCAGCTGAGCAGCAGCTTATTAGTATGGTGTGGACTTACCAAAGCGATATAACCAGTTAGCTGACGCCGGGCTGCATCATAGGGAAGATCCAGTTATTGCTTGCCCCACCCTGCTTCCCGAGAACCTTCTCGTTGGCCCACCAATCAGAGCCAATAGTAGCTTTATCGGGATATCCTCCATCTACATTGTCAAAGTTGAATTCTTTTGAGGATCCAAGAGTGATCGATCTTTGCTTCTGGTGCCTCTGTGAATCCTCTCCATCAGCAGAAGATCCCTCACGTATTTCGCCGCATGGCTCATTCCCGTCGCACTCCTGTCCATTTGACATTTCAGCCGGGTTTGCCTCTCGTTTAGTGTTACGCTCTACATCCTGGAGAGACATCGATCCAGTTTTCATCAACATCGTTGGCTTCTTTTCCACACACCTCACTACGTCTTCTGCAGTTATCTCGAAAGAAACTCTATGGTCAACCACTGTTAGATCATTTTTCCATCCATTAAGCGGCTTTGAAAGACGAGGAACGCCAGAGTTCTGATGATTGAGAAGGAAACTGTCATGATACTTGGGGTATACTGTATCAGGGGTCAAAGTCCCAGATCCTTGCCGTGATCCCCATTCATGAGGGGCTATCTTCTCCAGGTTCAGGAACTGAGGGCGTCCAGGATTAGACTCGCGGTCAATAAACGGAGATGAGGTTCCAGATACAGAAATGGCTGACCCAGGCGATATCAAATTGCTGACTGGACTCCCTGGTTGAAGTTGATATGATTGAAATTCATACTGAGCAAAAGGAAATCTATTACCAGCATCAACATTTTGGTGATTGGGGTCAAGAAGCTTAGCAAATGGTACCTCAGGCGATGAGGGTGTAGTCAAGTGGACTGACTCAGGTGGAGGGGTAAACGGAGCAGTTGATGGTTCAGTGGTGAATGTAGAGAACACAGGTGGAGATACCAGTTGAGGTTCATGAGCGTATGGCCCAATAGCAAAAATCGAGGCAGGTCCACTGGGAGAATAAGTAGACATAGAGGAAAGGCATTTCGAGCCAACTGGTGAGTGGGTTGCGGAAGGAGGTTCTGATGGCAAGAAAGAAGCAGGAGATGAGGGAGGGGCAATGAAGGGAAGCACTATAGAAGGAGCTTGAGTTGAATTACCAGCAGCAGGTCTATCTGCCCCAGGGGCTGTTGTTTCAGGAACAAAAACTGCATGTCCGATTCGCTTTGTCTGTTTCTGAGACCCAAAACACCAATACATGCTCCAGCAGCCTCCCCATCTTCGTTTCTGTAGAACCAATTTGAGGTGCAAGAGATGATGAGATCTTCTCATAAGATAAACAAGTAACTTCAAAGCATTATGAAGATGTTAACACACAAAGTAAGTTTCTTCAGGAAAAGACCCGAGAGCAGAGAGGACAGGGAAGTAGAGAAAATAAAACAACCTTGTTTCTTGATGCTGTCTTAAAACAAGGATGAGTGCAAATTAATCATTCCTTAGAATCAAATAGTCAAGGGAATAAAAGCAAAGAATAGACACAACGAACCTTGGAGATGTTAGCCCTTCAATATAATTGAACAATCGAAGAAAATCGGAGGACAGATGATCTAATCTAGAGTAATATTCAAAGAGCTGAGAGAAATTATTATTAACCTTCAAGAATTAATTAAGTCATTCCATTCAAACCAAATAATGTTCTGAGGCTGGAAGTCAACAGGCCTGGTCCTGGCTAAGGCAAGATGAGGTTTCTAAGCAAGGAACACCAGACAACAAAGTGGTAATAAAAACACTTGAATTTGCAAATGTCACAAGAGTGTTAATCAAAATGAAGGGATGCAGGAAAACTACCCTGGTGGACTTCTACCTTGCATCCTTAAGGTGAAAGGTTCAATTCCCACCGCCTCCTTCCAATTCTTTTCCCCTTTCCCCTCCCAAAAATAGTATAGGAGAAAGAGGGAAAAGAACTCTAATAAAGTATCATGCACATTCTAACATAATAAGATCAATTGTAAACGTACAAGAGCATTGAGAAAATTATAAACAAAAGAAAATATTAAAAGAAATACGAGGCACCAGAAAACAAAGTAATCTGTACAATTTGTCCAAAACTGACTGGGGAGTATGACTACATGCCAACCTACATCTGTTTCAAGCAGAGGTCATTTACTCAAGTACCTCACATGCTGTGGCCACTTCACTTGGCCTAGGAGGTATATCAACTCGCTCCTTGACTTTGACTGAAACTGGGAAACTGGCTATCATTTCAGCCTCATTTAGCGAAGCTATTCTACAGTTGCTCTAATGAATTCAGGGAAGAGTTTTGATATCACAAACATGTACACTTCTAGCCTTTTGGAACATATTTAGACTTGTGAATGAAGCAATTTGTGGTATGAGACATTATCATCTTTGAGTAGGATCTGAGACTAAAACCAGTGGGCACTCTATAAACTGACTGCAGGCTTTTTTGATAGGTAATGTAATTTTTACTATAATAACAGTACCAAGAATTTTTGCAACAACACTCTTTCTGCACCAAAAGCAGAAATCACATAAGCATCTATATTTTACACAGAAATATTTTCATTTTCTTCAAAAATAGAAATTCAGGTGTATATTAACTAGTAAGCTCAGTTGTGTAAATTTAACCGCCGGAAGAATATGATATCAGCATTTGTTAAATCTGGAACTTCCAAGATTTCTGCATACTTGAAAACGATAAATAACTCGACCCTCTGAAATGCATAACTATGTATCGCATCTCTGCATCGCTTTAAGCAAGAAGGAACATGCCTAATAACACTTTTTGACAGATAGCATTTTAGAACAAGATTAAGAAAAGATTACTACAGTTGACATGGCTGTAGATACTACTTATGGATGAGAAGGAATGTGGTGCCACTAGAAAAAGAGTTCATAAAGTGATAGATTTTTTTGATTTTGGATTGATTAAAAAGAAAGAAAGCAAATGATCTATGTATTACATCACTGTATTTACTAGAACTCTTGTTTCTAATCACGACGGGTCGCCTATTCCACTTCATTGAAAGGGATTAAAAACAGCCTTTGCTTTATCTCCTTCTCTTTCTTTCCTCTCCGAGTTCCTCCTCTCTCACTCACTTAGTCAGAAAAGTATAAGTGATACTCCATTGACAGCATGCATATCACGAGCAGTGAAGAACTGAAGCATATTATCCAAACATCCTAGTAGTACTTACCTGTCTTACCATCACCAATTTCCAACAGGGGGTAAAGAATACTTTTTTCTTATGAGGGGGCAAAGAATACTAACACTAACTTTCTCAATGATGACACCTTTCTTTTAGTGAACTACCATTCCAGAGAGTAATTTCTGTCATTGTGATTTTTATTTTATTTTTATGACCAAGAAATCCGTTTGGGGCCAACCCTTAGGACCAACCGCTGACTTCGAAACTTGGGAATAATGGGCCCGCCCCTCCACCTTACTCCACTTAAATAACACGCTTAGTTTGCATGACGCAAGGCTCAAACGTGTGACCTAAGTCACAGTCCTTCAACCTTTGCCACTTGAACTAAGCCCCAGAGGTCTGTCATTGTGATAATTATCTGCACAATTCTTGAAAAGTTCCAAATATTTGCTCTACAGAATGAAAATTGCAGATGTATCCCAAATTCGGACAGTGGAGAGGAGACAGCATTAATACCAATTACAATCTTTCACCAGGATATACCAACAAATTTCCAATTAGAAGATCAAATAACTCACATCATTCTTCACTAAATATAATACACATCTCTGTGTTTAATGCAAGGGAAAAAAAATACAAAAGTCCCCTGATCTATGAATCTCCCTTGCGAAGCTTCAATTTTAATAAGCTAGACACCACCAAACGCTTCAACTAATTTAACTTTGAGTTCAAAAATATTAATCACGATCTACAAATTCCAAAAAGGAAACAAAACTGTAACCAGATTCAAATCAAAGTGAAACACAAAACGATCTACAAATTCCAAAAAGACAAAAGAAAAAACAATGTTTTTTTCATCAAACACGACGTTTAAACTCCTAACAAACTGTAACCGGATTGAAATCGAAGTGAAATACCAAATGACATTTATAAGTTGCAAAAGAATTAATTAACTGCGACTGGATTCAAATCAAAGCGAAACACAAAATGCTACTTAAAATCAAAAAAAAAAAAAATCGTAATCAGATTTAGATCAAAGTAAAACACATAACGATTTTTAAATTCCGAAAAAAAATGTAACTGGATTTAAATCAAAGTGAAACACAAAACGATCTATAAATTCCTAAGCATAAAATTTGCAGTAACCGAATTCAAATCGAAGTGAAATTTTACCTGAACGGAAGCTTGAGGAACACGATTTTCAACCGAAGCGATCGCAGTAGCAGCTGCGTTTATAGTTTCCAGAGTGCTATCCACTCCTCTTTGCTCTCCGTTCACTCGTCTCATCTTCTCCTCTCTTTTACACAACAAATCACCTCAATTTATAAACTCCGACGACTCCTCAGCTCTATAACATCGCCGGACCTCACTTCTCCAATCGAAATACCCAAAAAAATTATTTTCTCAGACAAAATATCAAAGTAACTGAACAAATTTGGAGAAGAAGATGTTGATTTCTTCAATATTTATTCTGCAAAATGTACACATATATATATCGTATATATTTAATATTTCATATGTATTATGTGTATGTATAGGCCATAGCTATGGTGGCTTTGGAGGTCAAACACGGCAATGACTTTAGCGTGATTTTTCTATAATTGGGAGTTATTATTATTAGTAAAAGGTAATTAAAAGGTTAATAAAGTGATTGTGAAATGACGATAATGGGCTTCTTTGCAATTTAATAGAGGTCGGATGAATTGGGTGGTGTTTCACCTGAATTTTGCTAGCCACATTTAATGTATTTTCACTTCTTCTTCTTTTTTTTTATATAAATTTTATTTAAGATTTAAGATTTTGGTTTTCATTGTTAAATACTAAGAGTAATACTTAACGTTGTTGAATATTGTTGGTTCCGTTTAATAATACAACTGAATTGAAAAATATATATTGATATTTTACTTCAGAAAACAAAATTATTCCTAATCTTTAGTTATTTTGTGAGGTATAATGTAGCAAGAATAATATTTTATTACTATTAAATGACCTTTTAAACCGACCAAATTACTAACTATTATTAGGGGTGTCAATGGATATTCGAAAACCGACTAAACCGACCGAACCGTACCGCACCAAACCGATTTTAGGTTTCTTTTTAAAAAACCGTAGGTTTTTATATAAATCTATAATCGCACCGATAATTAGGGTAGGTTCTTTATGATATAAAAATAAACCAAAAAAAATACCGGACCGTACCGGATAAATTTTACATGTGAAAAATATATTTATCTAGTAAGTTTAAAAATAATAATGTATTAAATTTTTCTTTTGGCCTTGAAATTATGAAAACTATTACAAGCCAACAAGCAATTAAACTCAAAATATTAATTCCAAAAACCTATTATGCTACTTCTACTTAAACTAAGTTATTTCAAGTATCTTTATTAGCAAGACACAAAGTATTATAGCGATTACGAATAGCAGACTACAATGTATTGAATATGTTTCCTTTCATATAATTTAGATATATCTTTTTGAATATTTAATCTTCTATAGACTTTATTCTAGAGTTTTATCTTGGTTAATATCTTTCTACTTGTGTGATTTATATTTTCTTTGCCGTTGCTTGGTTTCTTTTACGTTGTTGTATAATAGTTGATGGATCTATACTCTAGTCATCTTTCATTTTTTTTTATTCATCACCCTTTAAAATAGTAAAAATATCTAAGGAGTTGTGCTAAGTCCTATAAAAGAACGTATGTTATTACATTCTACTTATATTGGTGAATTTTACATGATATTTACAAAAATACCGAAAATTAACCGAACCATACCGATATCGAAGAGAAACCGATATGATTGGTACGGTTTCGAAAAATCTAATTTTGGTTATACATAATAGAATAACCGAAAAATTGGTATGGTACAAATTTTATAAAATAACCGGCCGAACCGAACCATTAACACCCTAACTATTATAGCATATTTTGGATTTTTAAGTTTGCAAGTGAATTAAGAGCTTATATTTTACACCTCAGTATCTGGAATTTGGCACCGCAAGTAGAATAACTTTTATAACTAAATCAACTATGTATTGAATAGATCATGAAAAGAAAATAAGTCGAAAATCGCAAAAGATATTTACATCAAAATTACTTCAATTTATTTTAATCGAGTAATGAATTTTGACTAGTGACAAAGCATGTCATTAGGATTTGATGCAAACACTAGACAAGCCATTCTTTAAATCCCTTTCATTCTTATTTTAATATAGGAAAAAATTAATAATTCAGTTCAAAATTTAATTTCCTTTAAAATAATAACATTATATATATATATATATATATATATATATATATATCATAGCTTTTACATGAAATTAATCAATAATGGCTTAATTCAACTTTCATGAGACTCACATGATATTAATGGCAAAGTTCACTTCAACCTAAAATATATTAGATGACAAAAGATAAGAAGAAAATAAAACCATTGATAGTGACAATTCAAGAATTAAAAGATACTATTAAAAACAAACAAATCTAGTCAATATAGGTATCAATAGAAGTCAATCAATATATTGGAGCAAATAGTGATGAACAAAAACTTTACTAGTATTATGCTTAGGGGATTAGTATAACTGTTGAGGGTAATTTGGTCTTATTAGGACCACAACAAATTATTAATTTATAGATTAAGTAATAAAGTAGCTCATTTAAGTTACCAAGGGAAACTTTTTGTTAGGCAATGAGTGCGCACGTGTGCACATCCATTTTCTCGATGGCGTTATTATGCGCACCCTCCTGGTTCTTTCCGGCGTAGGTTAGGCCCCACCCTTGAAAATTCTCGCTCGTTTACTCGCCTTCGCCCCCACTTGAACTAACGTGCACGCTTGGCTTATCGTTTTCTGCATTTTATAAAGTCGCTATTATTACTTCTTTTACTACCTTGTTTATTTATCATAGGCATCAAGTCATCAACGAAAAGTACTTGGAGTAAATTACACTTAGGGGATTAAGAATATCTTTTTTAAAAGAGGGCATAAATTTTTTGAGAAAATATTTAATGGATATTGAAATAGCAATGACAATAATAATAACAAACTTATTATAAAACAATAAATGAAGAACAAGAGTATTGCAGAGAAAAATAGAGGGAGAGAATTCTTATTGATATATTGGGATGAATTACAATGGAATAGAACCCTCTATTTATAGGGAGATGGTGACTTAGCCACCAAGTAATAAACCCTAGAATCTCTCTAAATATAGACATTCACCATAAATAAAATTTTATTTATAACACTCCCCCTTGAATGTCTATTCAACAGATAATGTGCCTCGTTAAAACCTTAACTAAAATAAAACCCAGTGGGAAAAAAATTCTAGAGAAGGAAAAAGAGTACACATATCTAATAATACGCCTTTTGGTTGCCTCGTTAAAAACCTTGCAAGGAAAACCCAGTGAGACAAAACCTTGTAAGGAAAAAAGAGTGCAACGCGCATTAACTACCCCTAATGAGAGCATCAATTCACATCCTTGAGCCTTCGCATCCCAACCTTGTGCACCATCTTCAAAAGAACTTTGGTAGAGATTTGATAAACAAATCAACCATATTAACTTGAACGAATTTGTTTCACCTTGAAATCACCATCCCTAATAGATGTATTGTCTTCATATGATCTTGTTGGAATCGTCATTTCAATATCTTCACATAGAGGTGAAAACTCTTGCTATCATATTATCATGCCTATAGTTATAGCAAGATACATTTGTGCACAAATTGCACTGAGGAAGTGGTACTTCAAGATCAAGAATTGTATATGCTTCAAACAACTTAAATCCTTCATGGATTTTTATATAAGTTAAGTCATATAAGTCATATAATTTACTTTAATTAGATGCATATCAAGTTTCATGTCATGCTAGACAAATAAGATATCGAAAATTGATTGCAGATATCATTGACTTTATACTTTCAAGTGTTTGAACTGCAGGTCCAAAACAACATGTCTTTCATATGAAACCAATTCTACTTGAATTGTTTATCTAGACTTAAGATGCTCATATATATTTAGCGCTATCATAGATGTTGTCGACGGACATTTTATATCGGTTCCAACCTCCTTATTTTTTCATAAAGACATAATATAGAGATTTCTTTATTCATATATTCAGGTACCTGAATATCTCGTGAGATTTTATGAAGTGTTATGTCATGTGACCTTCTAGGTCACTTGCCTCCTTTATTATGATCATTTAGATCATTTGCTCATCTCTCTATCAAGAAGTTTATTTGAAATCGATTTGTCTATACGCTTTAAGCGTACCATAGACTTTGTCCTTCTAGGACTTAATATGAGCATTTGCAATGAGAATATAATTACTTTCTTTAGTCAGCAAATGCGTCTGGCATGCTTTGCAATATATTGCAAAAGAATTATCTTTTTATAAACTTCAAGTTCATACTATCTTATTCGAGGATCTAGATGTACAAATGATAATTCATTCCACGTAACTTTTTCTCAACTGTTTATCATGTCTCCCCCTCATGTTAGAAAAATTAACTTGTTTCCTCAACTTTGAGAACCCATCTTTGTGCGTTATGGTGTTAATTAAAATATGCACCGTACATCAATAATAATAAGATGGAATTATTTGGTTCCTGACTCTGAACCACTTTTGAGGGGAGAAAATAATATACTTTCGTATATAACGTATATCAAACTGATATAGATAACTTTGTTCTCATAAGCAATTGTTTAGCTATTAAGTGGAGGCACTCAATAAATCATTTTGCTAAACCAAATGTGATGTAAACCAACTTATCAAGATGAACTATCTTGAATAAAAAATCTGGAAATTATGCTCTAAATCAAATTATTGAGCAAGTTACCTCGCAAACACCATGTTGCGGGTTAATAATAATCGCATATGTAACCATCTCATAGATGCATCTTATGTGGCATACATGGCAGGTGAATGGGCCCATATTCACCTTTGATATTTCCAGCATTCATGGGATTCAATCCTAATGTTAGTTGATCTATTAATTAATGAGAACAAGCAATATAAGAGAATTCGTAAAGAACTTTCTACTTCTTTTAATATTTACCCATGTGAATTCTCTATTATTTTTGCACATCATACTTAAATTGATATGGCTGAACCAATTATGCCAACTGAATAAATTATCAATATTGATAAACTTCAGATTTACACCATGACATATGCAATTATCAATGAACTCCAAGTTTATTATGATATGACTTTTTGTATCAATAAATATCCACTTTATTGTGGTATTCTTTTATTTGTGTAATACAAACTGGAGAATAAAGTGGGTAACTTCACATACATATTACCCCGCTACAAGTTGTAGTAATAAAAGATATTAAATCCTTTTCTTTATTTATAGTCTCAATATAATCAACCGCTTTCGCGTATACTTTGGAAACTAAATAAGTTTCTTTCAGACTTACTACGACAAATTTATTTCTCCAAAATAGTAATAATTGGCTCTTCCGCAGCTCTCAATTAATTCGGTACTACCACATATTCATCAACATCAATATGGTGAATATCTCTTTTAAAGAGAAAGTTACACCATTATGTAGGGCTGC